TACGAGCAGAAATCTGAAGTTTGGTGCAATAAACATCTGGTTTGAGCACCCGTACCTCCTTCTCCACATTTTCTCTATTTCTGTAACCTATAATAGTTTTACGAAAAGACATAATTATCTAACAAATTTGTAGATGCGTAAATTGGACGGTACGAACCAACCATGAATATCAACGGTTCTGAGCATCTAAGGAAATTGCTATTCCGATAACGATTTTGCTACCGAAGACAATACCCTGCCATTCGTTATTGCAAGCACACTGACGCTGCTTAAAAATGGACTCAAAATGAATGCAAGCGGGTCGGGATCCTTGGGAGTTACGGCACATCAACTACTGCAAGGGATATTTCATGGCAGGGGAGGATTCTCGAGTTCATCGCTTTGGCAGACAAGTGAATGCACTCTCAGAAGAACATGATTACGTCTACTTATTTTGCTTTCAGTCGACTACATTTACTTCCTAGCGCGTGGTACATGGTTGTACAATCCTGCGTCTAGTAAATACGAACTACTGCAGAATGCATCTTTATCGACTTGCCTGTCAGCTCGCATGACGAACCTATGCGTTGGTCGCAAATGTAAGATGAACAAGTATCTTTAGTTACTTAAATTTCCAACAGAATGCAAACTACTGACCATTGCTCGATGCTTGAAGCACACACAGAGCAGTATGACATATGTTACTAAGGAAAATGTAATGCCCACGATTCACACACGCCTATGTTTGCCCCCACCTCTCTTTTCTCATTCCCTGTTCCCTCTTCCGCAGCAGAGATCACTTCAACTTCCTTAGATTATTACTCTTCCGAAGCGCACAAAGTGGAGACGGTGCCTTCTTAACTGGCCACAATATTGTGAAATTGCCGGCGCGACTGATTCGTCCTTTTCGTCGATTTTGGTCCCTAAGTTGGCCATTTCTCCACTCTCAACCTCATACTCCTCCTATCATTACTGTTGCTGATTCTGGTCTCGACGTTTTCACGCTTCGCCAGCAATATGCATCCTCTCCACCACTATTGGACCAGGCATCGGAATCAGAAATCGGCTGCTGTGGCATCAGTACTTTTGAGGTAAACCGGGTGTCAATTCTTCACTCCAGCGGGTAGGTGTCGGATTTCTTCGTCTTTGCCATTCATACAGTTCTCGTGCATGACCGAGGAAATCCAGTGACGTAAAAGACAGCAGTCCTGGCTGCGTATGATATGGAATGTTTGTATTAGGTCGTCTCTTAGCTCACCGATCGGAAGGCACAACGGAACAACGGAGTTCCGTAAGAACGATCGGTGAGCACCCCTGTACCATTGTATATTCCCGATCGAAACCGACAGGAAAAGGGGTCCGTGGCCGAGTGGTTAGCGGCGTTAGACTTCTAGCTAACAGGTCGCGAGTTCGAGCTCCAAGTATTCCACACTTAGGAGTTGTGTTTGACTGGCTGACGACGGCTAATAAGCCAGAAATGGCAATTTCAGTCTCACTCGTCTTTGTCGGTGGTAGCATTCTGCCTATATCATGCGCCGCTGTGAGTCTGCTGTTAAGGGTCGAGTGAGAGCCCGTAAGGCACAACGCAACGAGTGCGTTCCGAATGAACGATCGAAAAGCGTCTCCCTACCATTGTTGAGACACTGTTACCGCCTTTAAACAGTGATGTAATCTGTGCAGATGTCCAGTCCGCGGGCAAGCAACTTGCGTTGAATGAGGCTCAGAAGTGCATGGACAGCGGTTTAGACAGTCTTTTAACGAGCTGCTTCAAGGACTTGTGCAGTATATCATCCAGCCTAGGTTATTTTGACTAATTCAGCATCAACGGTTATTTGCGAACAATAGCTTTGGTGAAAAACAGTCTCTGTCGTTAGGCATTCCACAAATGCGGAGCCGGGAGGAATTAATGCGTTTTGCTACGTAAAGATTAACATAAAAATTATGATAGGTGCTCTGCCTTTGCTCCATCTATATTAAGCTCTATGACTTCACTAGCTTTCAATGAAGGGATTGGGTCACTGTTTCGCGTGCTCCTTCTTATATATTCATAGAAGAATTTCGGAGTTTCAGCGGTCAGGTTCGGTAGGCCTTTCACGAAGGCATGCCGTGTCCTGATGAATAGTCGCATAACTAGTTTCCTCTGTTTCTTGTATGCATTTATCGACACTGATTCCCTATCCGAGGAAAATTACCTCCCTGACCTTCGCTTTCTGCTCACTTCATTTTAGAGCTTATGCTAGCCACGGGGTCTGTTGTTCAGTTTCTTCCATGGAATCGGATAGTGGTCTTTGAAAAGAATGTGCGTTATTAACTAAACCAGTCCTAATCCTTGACAATGTCGCCGGAAAAAGCTGATTTCCAGTTTATGGCATTTATTTCAGCGTTCTTTTGATCAAAGTCGCCGCACCAAATATTCCTTCTAACGCTGGCGGCTTGTTTGGGCCCAGTGAAGAAGGAATGTTCATACGAAAATGAAGTGTGGCATTTTCTACGTATGCGGGGTAGACATTGCGCCTCATCAGTGCTGTCTAGCGACTTCATAAGCACCAGATTTAGACGGTATGCCTGTTGCCCGTCCCGTACCCTCGTCGGAAACGGGACATGCTAAGTAAGAAATAACCTTGGTCTCATGCTGAGCAAACGTTGGTCAAAAGTAACATCTGATCCGGGTGCGTAGGCTGAAAAATAATTAGTAAGAGACGCATTGAATCTCCCATGATTAAGACGTCGGGACAAATAGAAAATCTTACCAGGTCCTTAAGCAGACGGGCGTCAGCCGTGGAATTGTTCCTCGACGGTCGATAGACTGTCAGGACGGTAGGTTCGTCCAAAGGAAGAATGGTGGGCGAGGCCTGGCTTGAATGTTGCAGTTAACTAAATTGCGCTCTTCTTCGCTGAGCCTTTTTCTCAACTATGAACTAGAAGAGGGCGTTCCAGCCTATCTTCTGGCGACTAATCTGAGTGAAAAAAACGCCGGGGTTGGCGCCTTTTATTCTAGAGCGTCGAGAGAGAACTAACTCGGCTTGTTCCTCACAGGTAAGCACACCTCAGATAGGTTGGGAACTTGTGAATGCTGGCAGACTATTTGTTTGTTTTCCGAGACTGGTGACTCTAAGTACTTCGGTTGTCTCACTGAGTTCCAAAATGTTATTAAACAGGCCTTGGAAGAGTGCTAGATCTTCTGAAACCCTCCGTCTGAGAATGTTGACGTTTGATTCAAGGAGCCCATTTATAGTGAAAAATTGATCTTCGGCGAGTTCGCTTGTATTGTTTGTTGGTGTGCCGCACTCTATGGAGTGTGATTCCCTGAGAATTTGGGCGGTGATGGCGGAACAGACGTTCTATCGCGGTTTTGCTATAAGACCCCTTTTTTGGCTGACTTAGGAGAAGCCGTTGGCACGGATTCGATAATTGACTCGCTACCACTGTCAATGCTGGTCTCATACAATTCAACAATTCTTTGGGAGTTGCAAATGGTTTTTGTACTTTTAGAACTAACCGTTATGGGTTTGGCGGTTGCTGGGGTTTCCGGTTCGGGTGCCGTGGAGATATCACTTAGAAGCCGCTGTCCATTTCCATTGGCTTTTTCCACCGGATTTATTTTCTCCTATGGTTTTCTCCTTTTCTCATTGACCGCTGTTATTTTGCTTCTTTTTTAACTTTGGTTCTCGCTCAGTCGCATTTATTACAGACGGTATTTCTGGAGTGCCTTTTAAGTAAGGTTCTCTTGCCTTACCCTTAGTTAATCTCCCACTGAGTACATTTGTATTATCTTTTGTTCCTAAATTGCATCGTAACAAGGCTTTTATCTATTCGGTCGCTTCCACAAGATCGCTGACTATAAGGGCTAGCAGTTGGCATCCGCCACAAGTCCTGTTTGAATGTGTCTTGCCTCTAAAATCGATATAATTTTGTGAGAGCGACGACGGCCGTGGACGTGTGGTCTGAGCCGTCGAACGTTTTGGGCTGGTTTCGTGTCCCCAACGATTTTATCAGTAAATGAGTAATTGTGTCGTTGGCCACTTTGTCCTCTGGTATTGTTATCTCCTCGAGTTTGATTTTGTTAGTGGTCAAACCATACACGAATAAAGTTTCCCCCAAGTTACGCGGCCGCATACCACAAGTCGGTCACTTTGCAAGTCATTGAAGTCATGCTACTTCAAATGATTGAGTACAAATTTATGTTGCAACTGCAAACGGTCTGCAAGGAGTTGTTTCTTTCTCGCTCGAACTTATGAAAATAAGATTATTTAGGTGGTTTTTGTGTATCAGTCAATATCCAGAGAGATTTTTCGTGACCACTTTACTGTTTAAAGGGGCTGCTTATCTCTTCCTTAATAAGAGTGAGCGGAAACAAATACCCGAGCAATGTAACGGTTTCCATCATTACTGAGACAGCACTATAAATGCTATTGAGAAGACTGTTTTCGATTTTGTCCTGGTTTATACTGCCCACTGCGCCCGCTGAAGGTAAATGGGTTTCCTTTGACCATGAGTAGGCGCTGAAGGTAGCGGAGTTCTGTCCCTCTGTCATCCGGTTTGCTGCAGTGTGTTTCTGCTCTACTATAGAGAGTTCGTACACAGCTGCATATGCGACATAACGGGTATTTACTGTGGTAGCTTAGGATCTGGCATGTGTTGGTAGTCTTCCAATACACGGTCGATTTTATATGCCAGTTAGGTTTTCGATGGACAAAAACTTCCGTAACTTCATCAAGCGCAGCAGGCAGTCTAAGCCAGTCCAAAACCGGCTGACAGAACAGCCACTGTCACTGCCATATATCGACAGTGTCTCTCAAGCAGTTATTCGCCTCCTAAGACCCCTGGGGATCGGAATCGCCCATCGGACAGACTCAACGATTCAGCATTTGGTTATGAGACTGAAAGCCTCCCTGCCACGAGGTACAACGACAAATGTCATCTACCGGGTCCAGTGTAACTCTTGCGAGGCTAGCTACGTCGGAGAGACAGGCAAACGACCACAAACCCGTATTACCAAAAATATGCGGGCAGTGAGGAGAATGAACCCTTTGTCTCTGGTGGCGGAACATTGCGCAAAATCTGGGCACACTTCCGCTTTCCAGAACGCCAAAATTCTGGGTCGGAACAATAACCGCGTAGCCAGGGAAACAATCGAGGCCTGGCACATGGAGACTACCTCAATTAACTGTTGTGTCGCCCTTTCGGCAGCCTACCAAGCCCTCCGGACGCAGCTCAACGAACGAAGGAGCAAGGTCGAAGTTTGGCCAGTCCTGAAACCAAACGCGGGAGAACTTACGACGGACCTACACGTAGCCACACTGCAAATCGGACCCGACGATGGCGCAGTCATCAGTACCGCTGCCTCAACCACTACTCTGGCAGACGGGGAGAAACGCGGTCAGAGAGACTTAATTAAGGAGAGCAAATCAGGACGGCAAGTAAGGTTAACGCGAATGCGGGCGATGGTTACCATTGTTCTAATACCGCCCCCCCCCCCGATGAGGGGCAAGCAGATTGACAAAAGTCACCCTCCCTTCCACACTGCCCCAGCGACTGCAGAGACAATCCCTGTGCGTATGCGGGCAACTAGCGCCGAAGCCGATTAACGACTCCCCGCATAATTAACACCGTGTTAATATGACTGTATCCATCCCCCCTATCAATGCTGTGTGATGCCGTACGATAATCACCTCCGACGACGAAAGCTTGTCTGCCTTTGAAACGTCAGGCCAATACAACCATGTTTGCCGAGATCGTCTCTTCTTCTCTTTTATGTCCGGTGACACGAATCTTCTCTCCTATTAGCAATATATAAATGTATTCATTCAGGAATGGGCGCACATCGACTGACTGGCTTCCCTAAGCAAATAAGCTTCGTATGGGCGATAGGGATCACGAACAGGCTACCACCTATCAGGTCGAAGTCGGCCAAACTATGATAGCAGAGGGGAGATGACAGAGTCTGGGGGGTCGATGGAGTTGGCGTCAGATTGTCAACGCACGATTATCTCTTTCGCAGTTAGTTTTTGATTCAAAAGGGCGCTTGGCCACTGCCATAGTCGAACTGATAATTATTTTCTAGACTGTGCATAGTAACATGCGACCGTACATGTTTTATTTTGCGACTAAAGTAAGTTCAAACACGCGTGTTTTTACTCGTTTTTCGGTTACGACACAGTATTTGGCCGGACAGCTTAGCAGTTGGCGCAGTAAATAACTCCTGAAGTGTCATCAGATGAGAAAGTGACGAAAGATAGGTGCACAATCAGGGATTATGTCATTTGTATTTAATTTTAGCTAGCTTGGCAATTAAAACAGCGGCGAAAAAATTCATGAATAATTTGTACGTCACGTGGCCTTTGGCGACGACGCTCAACAAATACCTATCGATACGTTGAATTCCACAATATTTCAAAGATCGCACCATAATTTTCCTGCTCTTAAAAGTATGCGGAAAAATTGTAATGGGCATTAGCTGAAAGGAAGTATGGTGGTGCCGTGGAGATACTACAAATAGCTTATACTTGACCATAAAAATTGGTTATTTCAAACCGTTTGTACGGCGCAAAGAAGTAAATGTTGAATATGACAGATTTTTAAATTGAGGTAACCGGACGTGTTGTCGTAGCTAAAGTGGCTCAAAAGGAAACGTCATCGTCTACTGAATGAGCAAAAGAATGAATATTTTTATGCATGTTTTTCATGAAATATAATTGGATTTTAAGGACGTCGAAAATGAATGAGAAAATTTGTGCTACATAAGTAATCATTATTTACAGAATGTTGTTTTTGCATGCAGCTGGAAGGAATTTCACTCCAAAGCCGGCATCCTGAACTAACCGAAATATTTAAGACTTGTGTTGTAGGATGACTAATTTTACAATCCTACTTAATTAATTTTTTCGAAACGAAAACGCATTTCGGAAGCTCGATTGACATTTCATAAGTTAGCCCACTTACTGTACGTTGGAGAAACTGTGTGATTATTCTGGATGCGGATGGTTGGGCACGCAGCAGCGGTGAGGAGGAAAGGCACCGACTCTCAGCTGGCGGCTCCTTCCACGGAACCTGGCTATATTTTCAAATTTTAAGTGGTCGAGCTCCTCGCAAGAACTGACGGCCGCGTGAGCCGAATCATAGTTCTCAGACACGCAATCCATCGGCAAGCGCAGTGACCTCCCGACACCATATTTGGTGCTAAGAATTTCTCTCAGCAGGGGAATCAGTTACGTGGGTAGGGCGCGGACGGGCAGGTATTCTGGTGACAACGGGCAAAATCGCCGAGCAAGCATCTTACCAACAGGCAACACACGTGATGAAATTGCGGCAATTAATGACTCGGACGCGGACTGACAGGCCATCATCGCCTCAATTACGACCGCAGCGGTGATCGCGACAGCTGTTAATTATAGTGTGCATGTGGTCCCACTGCAGCTATGCGCTATAAATACTGCAGTCGTTGTACCTCCACTACATTTAGCTGCAACCATCTTTGATGATTTGTTCTAGCAAGAATTCGAAACGTCATGCCAATAAACTTCTTGTTCCAATGATCGCATCTTCTCCTGAAGAAAAACTGTACTTCGTATGTCCCTAAATGCTGGATACAATAATTAATAGTGACTTGCCCTCATTAATTGCGATCAGCGTGTTGTTCTTTTCCCTTTGCCTTCTTCGCGCAGTCTGCATATGCAGCCTTATAATATTAACAGCCTTTCTGTCCTTCATTTGATTATCAGAGGACTAGATACTTCGTACTTTTACGTCAATGGGCCGTGCTTATTTTCCCCTTGCATGTCACGTGCGTGTTTTCTGTTATGCTATTAAACTGGTACTGCTTTGTTCGGTACTCGCCCAGCACTTCAAAATGCACTGTGAATATAATATTCCCTCATAATTACGTACCTCATTTTTTAACGTGGTTCACCTGGAAAGGCAGTGCCACAAGAAAATGCTGCCACATTTTCCGCATTGCAGGTGGTCTCGCATCAAAATTCAAGTACAAGAGTACACATATCCATGCCTAACTGCTTTCCTATTATGCACGCAATCATTAAGTGTAACCTCTTGGGTTATGAGAGCCACGCCCCGATTTTTACTCAGCGAAGACCTTCTTTGTTAATTTCTACTTGAATTTAGTCACATAATAATAGTTAGAATCATGCTTGAGAGTTGTCCTTATGGGGGATATTTTCCGTGTAATACCCCAATACTATTTTTATTTGGATATGTAATTCTCATTGTCCACGGGATGCATAAGGGATGCCGGTATATAGATTTGCACTGATTGGCTATTCATGATTTTAGACATTTCCCCTTGTGAACCGGAGATTGACAGATGTCCACTGTCTGCGCACCAGATCCGCCTTGGTTCAAATCATGTATAAAGTTCTGCAAAATGTCAAAACCATGAAAGCTGAAGCCAGCAAGAAAGTCAAATTTGAGTAATTAGAAAATGCACCAACATTCTGCGATGCGATGCCTGACAAATTTATATGGACAGCAGGGAAATGTCCAAATATTTCCATCAAGATATAAGGCAGGTATAGCAACATCTGAGATTCATACTTTCTGGGAGAGGGCAGCAAATATTCTGTCGAGACTGCTTGTAAGTCTTTTCTGTTCACTAATGCAGAAGATCGGGTAGCGAAATTCCGTCTATTTTGACCCTTTTGGCTCATGTTTGGAGTAGACTGTGTGACAGAAGTTAGTTTTCATCATGTATGAATCTTTGTGAAGAATATATGCACAATCACCTACTCCAAGACGCATGCATACGTCAGGCAATTTCCCCGCGCATCCGACGACATTTCTGCAGCCTGCATGTAAACTAAGCTGACAGCACTGATATATCGGATGAAACGTCGCACGTAGAAACATGCAAATTTCACCCAACTGGCAAGCAAATACGCCGGGTTAGCATGATACACAAAGGTGGGGAGTGGGTGAATTACCTAGACCTGGCTTATACTGTGTTTATGTCATGTCCCTAACCTGTCTTGTTCTGTCCCGCATCCGGTAGACAATGCGTATGGGGAAGAAAGTCAAGTAGACGCAACGCATAAATTTTTCGTTACGAGCAAGTTTACGCACCTTGTGGGGCAGTAGTAGATCCAATCTTCAGATTATTCTACACTTGTGAACGTATACCCCAGCAAGACCTTCTCCTCGGTAGTCAGTGTTTATTCGGATGAGTGTATGCAAACGTCAACATGATGTAGGATGTTTGCCGCTTACACAGGGTGAGCAAAGAGCTGCGCACCAATCTCTTCGCCAACTTTGCGGGTCTTACGGCATGGCCAGTTTGGAAAATATTTCTAATCTGACAGAACTTGGGGAAGAGAATGGTCAGCATGCAAATGTTAAGGTCGCTAATAAGTATAATCCATTTAGGAGGCGACGGTATGGAGATTGTGGCAGATTGTGGATCGTGGCATACGTGATTGGCGGTAAGGGAAGTTTTATCTGTGGGGCAGCACACCGGACAGTAAGCTGACGAAGTGCAGGGAAACATCGGAATCGTTTACATTTCTCCTAAAAGGCTTATCTTACGCTTTCACACGACAACGGAAATGAGTGCGGTAATTAAAAATCAACAAAAAGTAAATTTAAAAAAAATAAAGAATTTTGAATGATGACTTGCAGTCATCGCAAGTGATTGTTATTGGCAGTGTAGTGTGTGAAAAGAGCTGCGAATGAAAACCAAGGTAAAAGCCCATATGACGTGATCCACAGTCTGCCGTCAGTTAAGCAGGGTTCTTCTCCATACCGTTGCCGTAGTTCACTTTTAAATCTGATGGATTACATCAAAATATTTAAAAAGTGCTCAAGGTTGAGTCAGAGCGGGAAAGGCAGGTTGGGAAGCACCCTCTGAGACGATAGGTTCCCGTTCATGGCAGATTTTTGTATTTCATAGAGTCTGCTGGTGTCGTCTCCAATCACAATGCATAAACAATTTTTTTTCAAAAAGACGTGGAGATTGGTGTATGCGAGACGGATCACACGTTCTGACCCTGTGTATGTTGTATCCCAACCAATTGAATCACAAAAATGCCACTACTCACTGGCCTTGACGACTCCAAATTAGAATGCTGGAACTTATAAATATACATTCATACAGCGTCCAGAATTGAAATCCTTGCAGAAAGGATGCAACTTTACTTCTCGTTGCTCTTTTTTCTGTTTGCGGGAGCATCAAGTGCGGTCGGCGGGAGTAAGTAAATAAATTTTTAGTTTTAGATAAAGTGGCTTTCTAAATCCGATGACTATTTTTGTCATTTCTTGTGAAAATAACTTAAATCTCAGATAAAATTTCCAGTTTTAATTAACGGGTCTTTGCCCAAGATTTTAGCAAAACGACATATGATAATATTTTTATGCAGGTTTGTGCAAAATCATGCAGATTATTGATTCTAGGGAAGGAGTAACAAGCTCACTCAACCGACCGGCAACCGTACAAGAAAAATCAGTTCAACTTTTCAACAGAGGTGGTAAATCTCATTCCGTGATGATAGAGTAATGTGTCTCACGATAACTGAAAAGTGGATGAAGCAGAGGCAGTTAGCCAGTTTCTCAGGTCCGTGAAGAATGGGGCAGACTAGAGGACGGGTACCGGGATGGTTTTAAGGTGTGATGGCGAATAGGGGACATTATAGTAAAGAGCTGATGCACAGTATGAATAACTCATTCAGGCCCTTGTCATCCTGCTGATCAAACTGCCGCGTAAATTTGTGTCTCATCACCACATCATTCCGGCTCTCCAGTACTCTCTTTTACTCGCAGTATATAAATTTTGAATAATGGTAAATAGGCAAATAATGACCAACAACAGCCTTTGGACGACTTGTAGTCTTCATGAAGGCGGATATTATTCCAGACAAAGGGACAGTAGGAATCGAATCAGAAAGCTTGCTCCATTCCACATTGACTCAGTAATGATGACAGCAAATATTCCTTCATTTTGGAAGTGGATTGACCACCGCCCACTCTAAAACTAGAAATGTGCAATAACGTGAGTGCCATCCGCACTGGGTGATTGCAGTACAAAGTTGAAGTTACTGCTTTATGCATTTTTGTTCGGGTGTAGAAATCATGTAGTCTTACACATCGGATTCACATGATGGTTCGCATCATTAAATTTACCGTACGTTATGTTCGACACCTAATAACGGCCGGTTTTTAGTCCCACATTATTATAGGATTTCTTGTATACTGGATAATCCAATAAAAACATGATAGTGACAAATTCGTTTTTACTTTAATATTTTTAAGGACTTTTTCAATGGGACCCTTAAAGGCATAGACTATTTCGCTTACAAATGCTGAACTATGCCGAGGAAGTGTCCTACGTGTAGAAAGGTCGCTAAAAACAGGACCACCATATAATAAACCAGACAGAATAACAGAAAGTCTTTTAATTATCGCAGATGCGGCGTTTGCAGCGTCTGCAAAGAAGCTTCTACACTATGTTCTGATATTTATATCCTCACCCCTCGAATCGCCTACTAGATATTAGCCATCAGGCACTTCTAATGATGTTTGTCTTTCCATCTCAATTTGCGTGAATTATTTGAACAATCTCCACCTTCGCCTCATTTGGGCCTGCATATAGACTCTTACAAAACATCGTCCAGTTTCGTAATTGCATTTTATATTGAAGTTCGAGTTAGGAGTAATTGCAAGTTCACGCATTCAGTAGAAGAGTTTTCCCTTTGGAGGAAGAAGAAGGATGATCCATTTCTGGCCCATTCGTCCGATATGCATGGCCCATCTTTCTGTTTAGAAGGAATCGAATGTGAATCCATGTACTTGTAATATTTTCTGCACTACCGATTGCCGTCACAGCTTCAAGTTATAACGAACTCGCTTTTGCCGCAACAGTTCAGTTAAGCGTACTGGCATCACCGTGCTGTCCTAGATAAATTTAATTACCATTTACGAGGCTTAATGTTGTATCCCAGCGGGTAGATGAGTTAATTCGCGAATTAAGTGAAAAATGCTGAGTCATTAGCAATTCCTCCTTTGTTGCCTCAGGCATGTCTGTTTTTGAGAACCGTTAAATCAGAGGCGTCCACCGGGGTTTCAGTAGGTTTGCTTAAAATTCCACCCTTAATACTGTTTATGAGTTCTTTGATGACGACATCAGGGCAAGTAAAATCTAATCAACGCTTTTACTTTCTGTAGTTCAACACACTAGTTTGCATTATAATAACGTCCCATGCCTTCAGTATAGCTTTTTTAACACATCGAGGACGAGAGTAATGATCGCACGATTTTACAATTCTGCAGACAATAAAAATGCTTTGAGCGTGCAAGCCATTGCAACGAGTTCGGAATCCATCCAAGTAACTTGGGAGCTACCGTCAAGTTACACCAGAAAAGTTATAAAGAATCACGTTCTTTATCTGCTGGGATCCGCTGTTCTTGCGCAGATTTCGGTAGAACCAGAGACAAAAACATACACGTTCACAGGATTATCGCCATTCACCAACTACTCAGTCGCTGTACAGACTATTTTCGCGGGCACTAAAAAGCTCGCTTTGTATGGCGGAACGTCGACCGTCACATGGCCCACAGGTTAGTCTATAGCTGCCAGATTTGATGGTTATATTTTTTTTATTTGTTAAATTAGCCTCAATTGGCAATTACGCAGCCATCTAGCAGTGACTAAATGCCAGACGTTTGAACAAAGCGAAGAAACAAAGTGAATTGCGATTAGAAACACATCTTGACCAAACGAAATTTCTCCCGAAAGATGTCATAGACGTTTGTTATATATACAGAATTTGTATGAAAAAATGTCTTTTAGGCTTCATTAGACTCCTTGACATCGAGAGACCTACAGACTGTCTGTCTACTGCTTACGGGCTTCGAATAACCTGATAGGTGGCTGCCTGTTTGTGATCATCATCAGCCAAACAAAGCTTGTTTGCTTCGTAAAGCCAAAGAATCGGTGCGCGTCCATTCCTGATTGAATAAATAGTCGATCGGCAGCGACAAGAAATGGCTGGCGGCAAGGCACTGATGTACTTCGGTTCGATGAAGTGCTTGTGGCCCATCCGGTAGACCCCAGTGTTGAACCAACTGCGCCAGGTGCGTCTGTGCGCATTTTTTTGTTTCTGGTCCCTTCTGCTGGGCAGGTATGATTGGATAAATGAAGCCAAAATAAGCCCGATACGGTACTGTATCGATCTGCTCGCATTCTCTGTCGTCCCTCCTTGCTGCTATATGTATATATCAATATGCATAAAGACTCGAGGTCCAGATATGTTGTCATGTTTATCGTCCCTCGAAGAAGACGAAGAAAATGCGCGGGCGAATTCATGAGCTAAATTGCATTTGAACTGAGGTTTCGGAATCCCTTTTGTTTCCATCATCAGATTAGCATGTTTGTTATTCCCGCTGGCCATGATTCAGCGCATTTTCATGGTTATCTTATCGTTGGCCTACGATCACTCACGCTTTCTCGAAGGTGAAGATGTGATTTAGCTACCGAGTGTGGCCGTAGTCCAGCGACAGCTTGCCCTTTCTGTTGATTGCAAAACTGGTGCTCGTGCAATATTGTGCCGAGGAGTTTGCTTGTTTCACCAACATGCCTTGCATTGAACTATTGTCAGGGTATGCTGAAAACCACTGCAGTCTTTCAGCCTCATGATTTGCTGTCTGGTTATTAATGTCGGTTTATGAGGAACGCCAACTCTCTAAAGGTTTCGGAATTCTTGACGTCGCCTCTGAAACCCTCTTCACATAGGGTATCGAGATCCAGAACTTCGGTTTCTCCCCGGTCGATCGCGCAGAATGGGGCCTACTGAGACAAATGCATACGAAAAACTTCGGTTAACAGTTGACTTCAAATGGTGGACATGGGTAACTCACCTCGTTCCTCCCGCCATTGTCGTCGCTACAGTGTTTTTGGGCGCCTTGGAAAAGGGGACGCTGGTGGATTCAACTCTGTCTGGACCAATTTTTGAGGCGGTTTTGCAGAGGCTCAAAAAGCTGGTATTCAGTTCGTACCCCCAGAGGTTGTGAGCCAGATATGTTGATAACATATTCGTCCTAATAAAAAGGAGCGAAGTGCAGTCTTTAAAAGCACTCCCGAATTCAATTTTTCCCGACATACAGTTTACCATGGAAGAAGAAAAAGTCAACAATCAATTTCCCTTCCTCGACTTATGAGTCACAAAACTGACAGACGGCAATATAAATACGACTGTCTCCTGTAAGGCAAATAACACTAAGCCCAAATCAAAAGCTATCATCCCGTCGGTCACATAAGCAGTCGTATCAGGACCCTTTCCAACGCACGGACAAAATAATCCTTATGCAGTTCATATTACACAAAGGTATGTACCCCTTCTCAGTCGGAATCAACGCAACAGTTTACTTCCACAATTTACTATGCCTATTAGAACTAATTATACCCAGCACGGCGGGGCGGCACTCCAGTACTTTTCAGTAAAGTTTCAAAATGCTAACTGCCTTTCGGGAGGATCAGTGTTAATGATATACGTCTTTGCACTGACCCCCGTCTTGCATATTTGAACTTGTAAACATTCTAACATTCTTATTCACAGCTGGTCAACAGGCGAAAGATCTCAGTTTCCCACATACAAGAGCTCGGTCGATCGAGGTGACATGGAGTGCCCCGGAGAAGCCGGGTGGAGAAATAAAGACCTTCCAAGTCCAAGCGACGAACACACGAACAGGCAAGAAAGTGACAATTGAGACGTTGGAAACCACAACAAGTTTCTTCGGTCTGGATCCGAACACAACGTACAATATATCAGTCAAAACTCAAAATAAGCAACTCAGTGGTCATGGTGGCGGTGTCGGTCCAGCTGTTACGGCTGAAGTAACGACATTGCAGTTAGGTAAGTGTTGCCAGTATTATTCATTGTACTTCTACGCAATCACAAACATTTCTGCAGAAGGTGCTTAGATTTTAGCACAAATGATCATGCGATAAAATCCGGAAGACAATAAGGTGCACGTTCCTTTTAGGCCAGCGCATGCGCATACGGTTTGAGAGGATGTTGTGGATATTCGAGTGAAATCATGGCAGATAGAATTTAGCAGACTAGCGGGAAAGGGGAACACTGCGTGTCGAGTATTCTGTATTTCGTTATATGGAGGGATATAGGAATTTAAAGCTACATTATCAATATTTGACGTGGCTGGCGATGGCTGTGGCTAATAACATCCCCTTTAGCGCGCGTAGTTTCTGTTGAGCAGCCTGTCCTCCAAAATAATTCCTCAACGCCCCAGTCTTGCTGCTCACGACCAAGCGCGTTATCCTGCAGTACAGAGACCAGCGGACGTAGCGGGAAATGAAGAAATCTTAAGTTTTAACGTGGTTATCATATGTATTTGTGATCGAGCAATAACCCATTTAAAACTTAAGAACATATGGGGCTCATAGCCGCGCCAGCTGACCAGTAGGCACCAAGTTAAGCACTTTGACACTTAGAAGCGTCCCATCGACCTGTCATCGGATATCGACAAAATTGGTTCATGCCGAACTGAAGATAGCCAATCTGCTTCTTGACGAAAATTTTCCTACTTTGCTGAAGGGATTATTGCACATATTCAGGATTTGATGCAACGAGATGTATAAATCAACATATGCGCGCCGACAACTGTATTTCTTTGAAAGCCGACTTTCATAATGATACATGCATTCGCAAGCACTTAACATGTTTTACTTAAGTGCATTTCGCCTGGCATCTAATATCCTTCTGATTCTTGGGTTGCATCGAGGTACAGAAATATGCAAAAAATCGCTGTATATTAACAGGATGACTCTGCTTATTGATCGGCACTATTCTCGTTCGTTCTTACCGCGTCTTTATTTGAATAAATACGAGTGTTCATAATATGACTGCACAATCTTCTCTATGTCTGTTGTGATCGGCAGAACACGTGCCAGACGTGGTCCAAGACATCGTTACCCACAATTGACCAAAACGTTTGCTAAACGCTGGATGTCCACGTCCTTTGTGGACCGCTGACCAGTGATGTGATTTTGCTGATATTGCGGTTGGATTCCCATCTCTACATATTTGGGACTTCGGAGAGCACAAGCATGTTTGTGACCCAAGACTGGTATTTCAAGCAGTATTTACCAAGTGACGTAGGCGAATATTTGTACGCCTAACGACTTGTCGCTTTCAGCGAACTGACTCCGGCCTTATATGCTAAATTTGCTGAATAATGCATGTTTGCATGATCTCTTCCTTGTTTTCGAGGTCCCCCGAACGCTGATCTCGATTGCAGCATTATCTTCTCTAAAACGACTGCCTTAAACTGCATAATGGTAGTCTGATTGGTGTTCTAGCTCTTTCGTCACTTCTAACTGGTTTTCAGCACACCCTTTTATCATTTTTATTGCTAATATCCTCTGAGTTTGATACAAACGTTTAGTAGTCATTGGAATATCAGTCTGTATATGCTTCCATTTCTGAGTTTACTCAATAACTTCGTCTTTATAAACTTACTGCCGATCTTAAGGTTCGCGAAAAAGTCACGTAACTTGGTATTATTGGCGGAATTCTGCAAACCGCTTGTTGAGTGAGTCGTTAGATCGGTAGGCCAACATAAATTTGCGTGATATTTGTGTTAGCCATGCAAATTCCCTACCACAGAATGCTAACCCGGAACGAAAGTTTGACAGACCTAGCGCCTGGAATTCCACGTAAAATCCGCCACGCACTTCATCACTGTCTACACTGTACTCGCGTATTCGCTTGTACTTGGACACTTCAATCGCACTCGCACACGCATGAATGTTGCCTCGTATTCATTTACTAAACTTTCAGTGATAGGCAATCTTTCATGAGAACGCCTATGAGCTTGCGTGGGATGTAGTATATGCAGGTCTTACTTTACATCAGTTGCATCATTAGCAGACGATAAACTTGGGCAAAGAAAGTGAAACCGACGCCAAGTTGCATTTTCTCATGACACTTCATGGCTCCCCTTATGTAGGGTCCTAGCAAAAACATACAATAATCTTTGCAGCTCAAAGACCTCAGACATCGAGCTTCAGAAAGTTGCTGAGAGGCGGAATACCCTGACCCAATACGTAGCTGAATGTCAGACTGCAACGTTTCATTCCTGATGTGACATCCATAACACCGTCACTCATGTAAACTGCAATCATTTCGTGGATACGTCGTGCTGGGGGCCAGATCATGTGTGACGCAAGAACGCGGACAGTGCGACTTTTTCAATCACTTCTTACATACGTATTAACAATATCATGCCTTAGGCCAACTCTGTCTACGCCAAACCGCAGACACAATCGAACCCCATCTACGTGGGCCCATATTGCGCGATACGACACCGGAATCCCTGTGGCTTTCCTCCTTCGGCATCCGTAGCACGGGAGCACATATCCATCGGTGTCAAGCCTCATTAACTGCTGGGCAATGGGTGTCCACATTGTCATTTGGCCACATTAGATAACAGTCCACTTGCTTGGTAGTATACTGCCACCTTCTATGAGTTTATAGATTCGGCTATTTCCTCCGCTCTGGTCAGAAGGTCAAATTGCGGTCGTCCGACTATTCGGTGACCTAGGGCCGCTTGTCTGTATTTTAGAAGTAAAAAGCAACCATTGTCAGCTACCCTGCTCATAAATGTATTTCATTATTTTGCGTAAACATTACAGTAGTCAGTTATCTTATTATGAAGATAGAAACAAAAGTTCATATTTGCGCTATTTGACTTTTCCCTTGCTCATTAGGGTGCATTTCCATGTCTCCTCTAATACTAATGTGTATTTTGCCGCCTCGCAGTTTATTTCCGCAAGTAAAGTATTTGGCACCTGCCGTTCTTATCTCCTATTGGTTATTCGTTTCATTGGTTCATAAGCTCGCGCAAATTTGCAAGAGGCGGATTATCCGATCTCCTTATATTTATTGAGAGTTGTTTATTATTTATTTTTCAGTTAGCACGTTTACTTCCGTTGCTATATATAGGCATAGAAAAGAATTGAAGAGGAAACCCACCTATTTTTGAGTTCTGATGTATGCATTGTGCTCTCCTTCCTCGGCGATGCCCCACCCGTAAAACCTCTATTATCACCATTCCCATATTACACGAGCGTAAGGATACCGGTTGAGAAGTTGGGTTGCACAACTTACCGCTGCCAATTTTCCAATTGGAATAAGGTAGATGAACTGTCCGCTATTTGAATGAAGTGTTGATTGATGACCAGACTCCATGGGTTCTTACGAAACAATGGAAAATCGATAAGCGATAATGATTACCACCTTAACTTTTTGTATTGAAGTAAATATGGCGAAAGAGAACCGACACACTGACAGCGGTCGATGTTTGTGGGATCATAGCAACATCTGTTGCGCAAACAATTAAATAAATTGATTTTTAATAGTTTCATGGTTGAAGGTCTCCGATGAATGCATTCACACGTTGTAAATAAAACAAAAACTCCAGTAATTAGGCAGAAAATCCCAGCAGCTGCAGAGGAACTCTTTAAATTCAGACAGCCATATACCAGATAAGAAGTTCCTGAGGGTCAAACTCCAGTCCTTTACCCGCAAAATACCAAGTTTGTCGTTTTAAAACTAAGACGATGACCAAGCGGCTGCCATGACAAGTAATTTCATTATAAATTTGATGTGTTTCCATGTTTACCGATTAGAGGATGGAGCACGGAGAAGCATATTCTGTATTCAGCTACCTTTCAGAACGCTCTCACTCTGACGCACAACGACTGTCCACCAATAATGTGTGTACGTGTATGGTTGAAGGACGACCACAGATCAGTTATTGGCACAGGCGCGTCCAGCAGTACTTTGGTGTTTGGTCCAGTGCTACGCAGGCAGTCTCATATCGATTAGAAGAATATGTTGAGACTGGGGTACCAACAAAAATACTGGAATCGAGTGGTTGTTTCTAGCTTGCTGACTGTAGTCTGATAATCTTAACTTGCCTTACATTTACAAGACCTGAAATTCGAATCCGCATTCCTTGATCACTGAGCCTTGGCAAAGTAAACGATCTTTAATTAAACCGTGGAGTATCTGTCATGTTTGTTGCGATCTGGAACACTAACTAGGGTAGATGGGCGTACACCGACTAGGTTATCGGACCTGTTCATGCCGTTTTGCCTTGAGAATCAACCTATAGACCTCTTAAACAGTCGCGTAGTTGCTAATAATAAATGATAAAACAGAATCTGCGACAAAGTTAAAGGAGTCAGTGATGACATTTTCTGGCATAGTACACTTAGTTAATATTCCCAATTAGAACCGGCAGGATAACGATCACTTGAAAGAGCAGTAGAGCGTTGAACTTCATAAGCCGAGGCGACCAGAAAAAGCAACTGCATACCTGAAGTTGGTTAAGGCTGGTTAAAGACAACAACTAAGTCAGAAAAATCCATTCCGACTTCCACTACCTCTTTTGAAATCGCAATCTTAGCATATATGCGTATATATTCCAACAAATTTTCCCCTAATCCTGACTTGTTTTTTTGTCCTCAGACCGTCTTAACACCATCCACCGACAGCAAGAATATGGACTGAATCTGAGTTGTCCACGATTTAGAAAGTGGTTTCAGCGCTTTTGGCTTGAGAGCGATGTTCAATTCCTTGTAGCCTTCAGTCGGAAATATGCAACAACATAGAAGTGCTGGTCGTCTTTACGGCCTAAGTAAAGCATGGAATGTGAATAGCAACCTTCTAATGCTGGAATTAGGGACTAGAGTAGTCGATGTTCTGGGCAGAGCAGGAGTCAGTAGAAAGAACAGTAAAAAGCGGAGGGAGACAGAAACGTAATGCTACAGCCTTTCTAGAAAAATCGCATTCACCAGCCAGCCGTGTCCCGTTGACTAATCGTGGAGAACTAACATGTTAACATTTATAATTCTAGTGTTTGTATTAGGGACTAGAGTAGTCGAAGTTCTGGGCAGAGCAGGAGTCAGTGGAGGAAATATAGAGAAAGCGGAGGGAGACAGAGGGAGATTGCTTCAGCCTTTCTATGATAATCGTAATCACCAGCCAGCCGTGTACCGTCGCCTTATCGTAGAAAACTAAAATATTAACATTTACACTTCTCAAAACGCCTGTATTAATGATTATTTATTAAAATGTGGTCGTCCGGAAGACACTTGTAGGCAAGCCGTCATGCACAAAGAATCAGCGTTTCTCAATAAGAGCGTTGCCTCCGTTTATTACAACATTACGACGGAGCGGACATGATTCCGCAACTCTAGTGACAGATTATTCGACTTGTAACGTCAGTGAGAAACGCGGTTCTGTTGAAGACCTGAACTCATGATGCCCTATCTCGGATGACAGTAAATAAAGAGGAATTACCAGTCCAGATTCCCATGGCGCTTTCAGGCACACCGTACCAGCCGTTGGTTTCTCTTTCCAATAAAGGTGACTGAATGGACTGCAGAATGACATTCAAACTGATATCTTAATGACTAATTCTTGCGGGAGAACTTGTTAAGCCAGAATTGCAAGTGATATTTTTGAAATATCGTATTCTTCCAAAATGTTTACTATTCAGTTTGCCTGGTGCGGTATATATATATACGAGCAAATCTTACTGTTCACATTTCCGGTACTGATTCTCCAGTTTTCGTACATGACCTATGCGCTTACCGACGAGTTGTAAGTCTTGAACGTTTAAGCAATAACATTTGCTTAGTTCCCAAAGAGATGATGCACCTCACCGACTTATAATATTTGCAGACAACGAATACAGTTTGAATATGCAAGCCACGGCAACGAGCTCGGAATCCATTCTAGTGAACTGGGAGCGACCGTCTGCCTACGTTGGAAAAGATATACAAGATTACCTTGTTCACATCTCTATGTCTTCTGCCCTTCTCCAGCATTCTGTGCGGCCTGACAAGACCACTTACACATTTACCCACTTGCCGCCATTTACCAATGCCACGGTTGCTGTGATGCTTAGGCTACGTGGTACTTCAAAGCCGTCTGAGTATGATGCAATGTCAGTTACCACATGGCCCACGGGTAAGTTTACGTTTGTTGTTGTTATTAAACCGGGGGTTTAACATAACCGCCTGACGACAGCCAGTTATTCAGAAATGTCCATAAACGTATTTTCTTTGTCGGGATTTATTTCTCCATATGTTGCATATTCATGCGTAATAATATAGATGAAATTTCAAACCCCAAGATCTGAGATAGCAAGAGTACGTAAGGTGATCTCTATGGAGGATTGATTAAATATCTGACGTTTCATACTCGAATAAGAGTACAATAATCAAAGGTGAACAAAAAATGGGAAATATATGGTTCAGAATAACCTTGCCTACTTGCGTTTTGTAAGTTCACTACTCCTTATAATCCGTGATCCTTCTTTCGTGGGTAAGTGGCGCCTAACTGCCTTGTTTGACGTTGTTAGTTAGATCTTATGGCCGATCGATTTGGCATCAGATTGCCTGAACTTGATTATGTCTCTCGCCAGTTAGCTATCAACTCCGTAAAAGTCGATCCGATGACTAGTTTCCAGGATGTTCATGGTGACATGCGATCGAACATTTTATCACTTTATGACTAAAGGCTGTTCAAATATGCGCTTTCTTATCCATTTGTCGGTTATTCCGCAGCGGTTAGCTAGAGAGTTCGACGATTAACGCGGTAAACCGCACCTGAAGTGCCCTAGGATAATGGCCGATGCTTGGTCTGCACGATAAATGGTGGATAATGGCCTGCGGCTGGTGTCAAAGGTTCATGTTGAGCGGTCTTGGCAGACGCATCAGGCCATAGGTCAGCATACACCTTAATCAATTAGATAATAGCCGTGAATCCAAATACCAAATGACAAGTAATACTCGCTGAAATTGTACACAAAACTTACCATCTTACTTCGAATTTAAAGCAGATAGTACAAAAAGCCGAAGAAAACTTTTGCGAACAAATATCTTCGACTATCTAGTAAAATCGGTTCCAATGCTATAACGTCAGCAGCAATAGATAAGTTCCTGAGGAGTGTGTTCGCAGCAGTACACGACTTATTTCAAAATTCCATGCATAGAATGCTGCCCAGAAGAAGTTAACATCATAAATGCATATTGAGAAGATTTCGGTTATATGCTTGAATTTGCGTGTTTCAGTGGTTAACGGTGCCATTCGTTAAATGGCATGACTCAACACCTAATAAACTCACCCACATGCCCCCTTGATAAGAATCAAACCGCATCCTCCAAATCGGATGCAGGACGCACGTCTATTCGGAGTTTTACTTCGAATGCGGTAATCGTTTTAGACAGCGATTTCGATTACTGTGCATGAGTTGGGAGTAAAACGCTTCCTCATCGGCAACTATTGAGCGTGTAGAGAAAATTCGTGTATCTAATGCAGAGGCGCGATTTCACTCGATTTTCGGGGGAGAATATTTTACGCAATCGCATATCATTTAGGCCACAAAGATTTGTATCTATTTGCTACCGATTAATGGATGCTGCATTCAATTTACTTTTACAGTTGGACAGAAAATCCAAAACCTCAAAATAACCGCAACGGAGCCCAGATCTGTTCATGCAACCTGGGAGCCGCCGACCTCGCCACAGGGCATCATAGAATCCTACGAAGTTTCTTTGGAGAATAAGGGTACAGGAGAAAGAGAAGTGCATACATATTCGGAAGCTATGTGCAGTTTCAACAACCTGGATCCATCCACCATGTACAAACTTACAGTTTCTGTGCGGAATCAACAACTTGAAGGCAAAGGCGGAGGCCTCGGACCGGCGGTGTCAGGCGAAGGGGCGACCATGTCCTTGGGTAAGAAGAGTCTTACTGCGCACAAGCATATTCTCTTGCAACGTAAATTCTTTTCACACATTTGAGGAAATGCTTTATTACTAATTTAACCTTATCTGTTCAGAACACCAGCGATAGTGACAACAGGGTTATTGCGTGTGGACAGGAGTAGAAGGAGGTCATAGCCTAACCTTATCACCAGTTGGTCAAATGTGCATTTCTTAAGAAACGTTTTACGGTCGGATGGAGTTTGGTAGCCCCACCTCAAGTAAACAAACCTTAGTCACCTCTAATACGGGACCGATGGTAATAGGGGGTTTTTACAGGTGGAACCGGGAACGCACAAATGACGAGGTCAAGTAGTTGTATGAAAAAGAAAAGTTAATGGGAATGAGCGGTTGTACCTTGAATGGTTAAGAAATAGTTGTGTTAACCCCTAACCCTAACCCTGACCACTAACTATAACCCCTAATCCTAAACCCAAACCCATAGCCATAACTTCTAATCCCAGCCCCAACGGTATTGTGTCCATCAGGTGGGGCTAACAAACCACATCTTACCAGTTTTAATTTTTAAGGTGTCATTAATTTAAGGAGTGAACTAGGCGAAAAAAGCGACCTACAAAAGAGGAAATCGGATAAATTGGAATCTCTGATTCGCCAACTCAGAGTGCACATTAGGGGTGTTCGCTTGTATAATCGTCAGCTTACCTTCTAAAGGGTGTATTTGGGAATCGAGAGGAAATGACGAAAGCACCGATCGGCACCAAGCCTCTGGAGAAAGTATCACCGTGGTTAATTAACTCTAGCTACAGATACATTCATGAACACGTATTCGCCTGCCCTGTTGATGTGACTGCTTCAACGGCTGACGAGGGAGCAAGCAAAGAGGCCTGTGATATAAGGATAGCAAAAGGATTAACGGCGCGCCCTAATAGGTTTCGCGTGATGTGACCTGTCCCATACAAAATATCAGCAGAACAAAACCATGAGTTCATATCCAAAGCGGACGCAGTGGCGCCCGAAAAGGTTTTCTTTGTGAAAAGGAACTTAATTGCGTAAAATTCCGGCGCCGGTTTCCCAGGTCGTCGTCAGACGCAGATTGAGAGCAAATGTGCCGACGGCAATTAACATTTGGTAGTGCACTTGAAAAATCGATAAGTATTGGCGCTTGTGCCCGTGAGTGGCCGCTATCTGTGTCATTCTGTCCGATCGCTTCTCGTTACTTCCATTTCTTCTCGAGACTCAAGTGCACGGCGTCCAAATCGATATGTCAGTTGCATGGCCTTGAGGAATTCTCGTCTCGACAATTCGGAGTTTCATCCTAAGCAAAGGAGTGCCCCGTGCCCAGGGTATGTATGGCTACTTGGGACAGGTGGTCTCGCCTCTTTACTGCAAGTTGGTGTTCGTGAATGCCCGTAGAGGTGGATTTTCCTGTTTGACCAAAATAAACTGCATTGCTGGCCTCACACTGAATCTTGTAGACGAACTCCCTCATATCACAATAACCAAACCACTCCTTAGCGTGCACTATCTGAGTACGTTGTGTTGTCGTTGGTTTGTTTGCTACCAGACTTTGTTTTTCCATAGGAGACTTTCGACGAGTTCATCTACGCTTTTATTGTAAGGTAGAGTTCATCAAGTATTTAATTTGGATGCCTGATTGTAAGAGTTTCTTTCCTTTTATTTAGAATCTTTCTTCATGCATTGGTTGGCAAGTTACTTTTGCGAATTGTTTTCCAAAAATGGGTACCCCAATAATTTTTTGCGTAAGTTTTCGACCCTGGTTCCCTGGGTCGTCGTCAGACGCAGACGGAGAGCAAACGTGGGAATAAGAAAACAGCTAACGTCTTGAGTGCACATTAAAATTTAACCTTGCTTGGCGTTTGCGTTGTTTGGCGGTCGCCATGCTTGTGAGTCCGTTCGGATTGGCTCCTTTCTCTTCCATTTCTTTTTGGGGTTTCTGTAGATGGCATCGCGATATGCCAATTGATGCATGATTTTTCCGAGTACATGGCCTCGAGTAACCCTCGGCATTGCCTGAAAGGGCAGACAGCGACAATGGGAGCTTTGATCAGAAGAAGAAGCGATCGCTGGAACAATGGCTTTATTCGCCTGACGTTTCGGATTCTCTCTTGAATCCATCATCAGAGACAGTTGCAGTTGCAGTTTTCTGCAACTGTCTCTGATGATGGATTCAAGAGAGAATCCGAAACGTCAGGCGAATAAAGCCATTGTTCCAGCGATCGCTTCTTCTTCTGATCAACTAGTTCCTGGAACTTGCATTTTCGCTTGTATCGGCTATGGGAGCTTTGTCCCAAACGAAGGTGCGCCCGGCGTCCGGGGTTTGTATGGCTACATGGGACAGATGGTTTCGCCTCTTGACCACCAACCAGACTGCATGCGTTTCAGAAATGAAACGGCAAAGGGGAGGCGAAATTTAGACAAAAATGACTAGCTTTTTTACAGGAAAACTGATATAGATCTTTACAACTGCTTCATGGGACTCGTCTCTTCGCTCCTATTGACAGATCTGTAGTGTTTAAAAAGTTCGTAAATCTTTCCTCTAGAGCCCTCATAACGACGGAATAAAGCATGCCCTCCACAGGATTTGCGCACTTTCTCTCTAACTCAAACTATTTGGACTTTTTTGCAACCTTAGAATACATCATGTTGACCGCAAACCTCACGGAAGACGAGCGGTTTACTATCTGAAACAATAATGTGCAAACCTTAAGAGGTCGAAATCAGTTTACGGTGCTATCACTTGAAGAGAGAACAAAAGGGCCTCTGTTGCCATTTTGAACAAAACAGACTACGGCAAAGGTAGGGTGGAGGTCCCCAGCTAACTTAAGGTAGCCTGTAGTGCGTGTCAAACGAAAATTGTGGTTGGGGCACTTTTTACGAGAGGGGCAAAAGGCAGGACCGGGAGCAGGCGAAATACAAGACAATGCAGAAAATGAGTGAATTTCTGTCGAAAGCTTTATTCTTACACTGCCACACTGCAACGAACGTAAGCGCGGTAAGTTGAAAAAATAGACAAACGTCAATTTTCAAGGATACACCGAAGTTGAATTAAATGACGTTGATAAGTTTGCATTTAGTCAGGAATACAGGAAGACGGTTTAGGGCCCCATGTCGCTGTCGTATACAAAACGGTCCAGAGGCTACTTCGAATTTGTAAGGGACCTACACAATACCGTTGTCCAGACTAGAAAGAGGAAATTATGTCATTGTTAGAAGTCAGATCTACCTACAAACCATTCTCCACAGACCATATCAAGACGCAGGTTTCGTCCATTGACAAAGTGTTAAAGCGTCTTACAGGGAATAAGCTATTGTCAGGAGATACTGCTAAACCTATAAAGCAAATTGAGTGGACAATGGCGAAGACCTGCGGATTACCTAAAGTTCACAAATCTGAGTTCCCACTGCAACCGATAGTATCACTAATCGATGCATCTAACTACAAATTCTGTCCAATAGCTTCATCCCGTTTATGAAAACTTGTGAAAACTGCATTGTGAACTTAACAGGATTTTTTAAGAAATTACAAGGAATCATAATTTCTGCTGATGGTACTCTTGCCCTCATCATGTTTGTGCCATTGGATCTCGCAGAACAATTCACAGAGGAAATCCTGTTATGCCACGAGGCCGATGAACGTACGGGTGCAGTGAGGGCAGTTAACGCAGATGCTGTGAGTGTAGGCTGGTGCTCCAGACACTGGTTTGCCAGTCTCTGTGCGATGGATTCTGTAGTGAACGACCAGGACGATGCGTTAGGGACAGTAAGGATAGGAAAATTCGGCGGTATCAGCATGGGTTCCGGAGATTCTGGCAGTAGTGTAGCAGCTGATGATGGACGCAGTGGGCAACGGGTTGTGGGCTGAGTTATGCATGGTGGGTGTGCGGGAGGTGCGAAGCGTGTTGAGACTGCTGCCAATTCAGCTCCCCTGGATATTCATATGCCCGAATAGGCCGACGCGGTGATTGAATGTGTAGGAGAAGTGTGGACAGTGGAGGCGAATGCGGCCAGTGTAGTTGGTGCTCCAAGCACTGCTTTGCCAGTCTCTGTGCGATTGATTCGCAAGTGACCGACCAGGCCGATGTGTGAGGTGGAAGTGTGGTCGCCATTAGGACAGGTATGGATCTAGTTCACATCGATGACGTTGTTGGTGAGGAGGTTAATGTTTGTTGGTGTGTCAGTGGTGGTGGGCACATGAGTCGCCATAGAAGATGCTGAAGAAATGGAGTAGGATGGTATCGGGGGGTCAGGAAAGCGGTCAGTGTCGATTGTCAGAGTGGGGGACGAGGTAGGGGTGGGCAGGGAGACATCAGGTGGCGGCGCCCGATTGCTGCAGTTGGTATGGGGCTTTCCAGTTAATACAATAGGTGCGTCGGCATTGTAGGTCGTTGGGAAAGTCGAACTTTGGCATTGAAAGGTAGGTGAACTTGAGACTTGCTAGCCTCATGTTTGGCTCTGGCGGCGAAGGTGCGGGTGGCTTCGTAGATTTCCGCGCCGGTATTCACTGTTCATCTGATCAGTCGGTCCCAGGCGGGGTCTTACCAGTTGCCCGGGTTAATCTGCAGGAGCCTCACGGAGGTCTTCAGAGTATCCTTGTGGCTCCACACTTGGCATCATTTTTGGCGGGAACCCATGGCGACATCTCCATTGAAGAGTCGTTTGGGTAAAGGCTCATCTTCCATGCGCACAGGGTGGCCGCCTGAGCGCAGTTGCAGTTGTCTCAGCATTGGGTAGATGCTGAAAATTCTCGTCCGTTTCAGTACGTCTGTGTCTGGGATACGGTCTAGTCATCTTAGCTTCCATATCCGTCGAAGACAGCTGAGGTGAAAATGGTTAAGTCGCTGCACCCGCTTCTTGTTCACCGCTTAGGTCTCAGTTCCGTACAGCAGCGTCGGCAAGATGACTGCTCTGTCCATCTTCAGTTTGGTGCTGATATGAAGACCGCATCGATTCCCAACTGCTTTTTGAAGATGGCCGAAGGCTTCACTGGCTTTGGAAATCCGACTGTCCACCATATCGTCGATCTGGGTTTTGCGAGGGAGGGTACTGCCCAGGTAAGTGAAGTTGGCCGAGGCCTGGAGTTAAGCGTTGATTTGGAGTGCGAAGTAGGCAGCGTCGGGTGGTGGTTGATGCATAACCACCGTCTTCTCCGTGTTTGTGACCAGGCCATAGTTGCCATGGGCGGCGTTGAAGACGGCCATGCTCTTTTGCATGTCCTCTTCCGAGGTGGCGTTAAGAGCGCAGTCGTCGGCGAAGTGAAGTTAATGAACGGAAGTTGCTGATACACTAGACTCGAAGTGCATCGGCCGCCAATTGAAGATGTGGCCGTCCGCCCTGAAGTCGTCCCGGATCCCGGGGCGTTCGTCAAGGCAGGCGTTCATCAGCATGGCGGAGAACATAAGGCTGTAGAGAGTAGGCGCGAGGACGCAGCCCTGCTTCACTTCATTGGTCACCGAAAATGCCTTTGAGACGGTTCCATTGTGTGTGACGCGTCCCGTCATGACATCGTGGAGCTGAAGCACAATCTGCTTTAGTCTCCCGGGACAGTCGAACTTCTGCATGATTTTCCCAGTCCTCTGCAATTTACTGTATCGAATATTTTCGTCAGATCCACGAAGGTAGAGTAGAGGTGGATCCGTAACTCCTAGAACTTCGTCGGTTGGCGGGCGGTGCACATCATGTCCATGGTCCCTCGATAATGGCGGAAGCCTCACTGGTTTTCCAGCAGGAGACCATGATCCAGATGGTTGTCCAGACGGTTGAGAAGGATGCAAGCGAAGATCTTCCCAGCCATGTTCAGCAGAGAGATGCCTCGTTGGATGTTGTAGAGGTCATGGTTACCTTTCCGCTTATAGGGGTAAACGACTATGGCGCTTTTTAACTCCTTGAAGATCAAGGTCATATGATCCATGGGTTTGGGGGCACCGTGCATATAGATATCGGCAGGGATCGTGTCCGATCCGGGTGGTTTCCCGCTGAAAAGCTGCTGCACGGCCCTGAGGGTTTTGTGAAAAGAAAGCGAATTATCGAGGTCGGCGTTGGCCTCCACTTGAGACGGACGGGCAGTGGCAGCGTCGGAAATGGTGGAGGGGCGGTTGAGGACGCCTCTGAAGTGCTCGGCACATTGCCTCAAAATTTGCATCATCCTACTGAGTAAGGCGGTTCATCGGCGCTAAAAAGGGGAGCAGTTCCTTTAGCCGTGGGACCTTAGACAGCCCTGATCGCGGCGAAAATATAATTTCATTCGTTGCGCTCCGCATATATTTCAGTCTCCTCGGCCTTGCGAGCCATTCAAGCCTCCTGCATCTCCCTCAGCCGCTGTTGCACAAGGCGGCGACTAAGGTAGATGACTGCCTTGTGGTCGCCGTACGACGATTGACGCAGGCTTTGTGCAGGCTGCTCTTCTCTACAAGCCGTTTGCTGATGGCGGCGTCGTTGTCATCGAACCGGTCCTGATGTTGACGACGTGCGCGGTCAAGGACAGCCAGAGGTTTCGACTGGACCGTGCGGCTTATTTGACATCATCGGTTCTTCCACGGAGGCATTGTCGTCAGCGGGGTTGGCAACTGGATGGTTGGCCGGTTTTGAACTAGTCTGTTTTAAAATGAAGATGATGAGCATTCAAAGACAACAAAGCAATATTTATTGTTGCTTTTTAATTTACTTAGAAATTAACTGTGAACTTGAAGTAGACGAATGTACTTAAGATCTTTAGGCTCAGACCGAAGATTTTAAGCATGCATTTTTGGGTCAAAACCCAACAGCCACAGCGGATAACCACATAATATTCATTAACTGCTGACAGGCTGCTAGCGGTATACTTTTGGGTAAGGTGAATCCATAATAACAGCACAGGTAATAGCCCAAAGCCCTGCGCCGTTAGTATGGAATCGCCTTATTCTAAAACAATAGTCAATTACCTGGGGGTTGCTAACCTTGTGGTCTCCCGCGAGGCTGTAGACGAATCCGCATCTTAAAGATGACCAGACGATGGTCGCTCCTCCCGTCGACACCTGGGAGCACGTTCCGCTAGTCTCGACCCCGGACGAGGACATAGTCCAGCAAGTGGTAGTTTCGCGACCAGGTTGCCTTCTCTCGCGTTGGAAGGCGAAGGTGTTTGTCAGGATCAGGCGGTGCTCTGTGCATGTTCGTCGGAGGAGTATGCCACTGTCTTTGGAGCCGTCAAGACAATGGCGACCCAGCATTCCTTTCCAGGCATCAGCGTCTGTGCTGACGTAGACGTTGAAGTAACCAAAGACAGTTAACTTGCCCGCCTTCGGCACAGTCGCCAGAAAGGTGTGCAGGTTCTAGTAGAATTTGTTCATTGCCTCGTCAGGGCTGATCATCAAGGGAGCGTAGAGTTTGACGATGGTGGCGAACTAGTCACATCGGAGATGTAGGCGGAGGCTCATCAGACGATCGTTGATGACCTGCGACAGGCAAGAAAGTCGTCCTACGATGTCGTTCGGGATGGCAAAGTCGACGACCGCGTTCTGCCACTCCGCCTTGGGACGACCGCTCCTAGAGAAGTTGTAGCCGGCGACTAAATCCCCCAGTTTGCCTTTTTCGGAGAAGCGGGTCACCCTGAGTGCAGTGATGTCCACTTTGTAGCGCGCCAGTTCCCGTGCCACTAGCGCCGTTCTCCGTTCCCGCGAGTTGCTGCTTGGATTGTCCAAAAGGGAACGAAAATTCCAGGCTGTCAGAGTGAGCGGACTCACTCTGCCAGTCTGGCATGTGGGACGGCGGAGAGGAGGGTGAAGAGAGAGGGTATGTTTTCTGGTTTCATGGTTTCGACCGCATGTGCAGTAGTCTGCGAGCCACGGCCAGTGCGCAGTAGATGTGATCCCAGCATTTGTTTAGGGCGTCTTTTCTAGCCCCGTTCCTCTCGCGGGAGTGAGCAGTGATTTCCCTAAATGGGGCTGCTCACACATCCCAGACGACTGCCGGACTCCAATATGGGCCACGACTTTTGTTTCGTGGGAGAACGACCCGAGTTACTCTGGGCCTACTACGTGATCGCTGTCCATCTCGCCGTAGGACTTTTCAGTGACCGGAGGAGGAAAGGGGTAGGATAAGGATAGAGAGACGGAAGCGGAGTTTTCTGTCCGTCTTTAAGCCAACTGTTTGATGACATATAAACGGTGAGCAGGCAGATTCAAGAGAACGGCACTTAGCTTGCCACATATACAAACACAAACAAGCAGACGAAAAGCAAGCAATAACAGGCAAGAAGGAAAGGATGTAGAGCAACATTCGCTTATTTGAACGGTTATTTACCTTGCTGACTCCTGTGGTGTAGAGACGAAGCTTAATCCTAGGCATGACTATGCGGTGATCTGTGGGAATGTCGCTGTGGGGCAAGAGAATGCAGTAGAGATTAGAGACAGTGGAGGCGGAGGAGGAGGGCGGAGAATAAGTGCGAAAAATAAGCAAGACGACGGTCCAGTCGTGGGTCCATCTGGTGTTCGTAGTAGGTCGCTCACTTGCTTGCAGGTAAAGACTACGCCTTGGTTTCATTAACTGACACCTAACTCTTACATGCAGTTCCTTGGAGCTATGCTATGCCTAGCAGCCACACGGCGGTAACTGCCTAGACAGGAGGACTTAACCTGATGAGGGTACCCCTGTGTGCATCTCCGCACATGGTAGCATGACTCTGCTCTTACCATTACCGGACGGATACAACACCGCCTCGGCATTTCCTAGATGAGGCTGCATCTGCGACACCGTAGGAGGCTACCAACGCTCAGCTAACTACTGACAAGAGCAACAGTCTATTTCTCAAGAACGGTGTGCTGTCAGAGGTCGCCTAAGCCGTGCAAAAACGCTTTGTTCTGACGAAAAAGGCCATCTAGTTAGTGCGGATTGCTTGCGTCAATTATTTTCGCAATTGCGTACCCTAAGGCTTGTGGATAAGTGTTAATTATATTCACGGGGCAAGGGAAACCTGTGGAGAACTACCTGCAATACTCTTAGTCGTAGGTGTTGCTCGCTATAGTTTTTGGTTGGCCCTTCAACGGTAAGACGACATTCGCCGACTTGAACCGCGATGCAGAATTGGTGCCGTTGAAAAGGTACATTTTCCTGCACCTCCCACACTTAATTCTCTAATAAGAGGAAAGCACATTTTTATAAAGAACTTTTGGCACGAAGGCAGTCAAAAGGTAAATAAAATACTCGAAATATTGTTTGATGACATGCATACGTCTGCCACTAAGGCAGGAGTACCCAAGCGTTAGTGAAATTGTTAAATAACAGTTGGCATTTTCTTACCTCGCGTATATACGTATTATTTGTCGAATTTCGTACGCAGGTGCTTGAGGCAGCAGGGATCAAGAGAGAAGGAACCGGGTGGTTCTAAGCAATCGTCAAAACAAAATACTTGACAGACTTTTCCTTACATCATGAATGTGACTGAACATGTTGAAAAACACTTAAGGAAACATCAAATCCGAGTGGCGCATAAGCCTACAAATAATTTGCACTTTCAGCTGATACATCTTAAGGATAGAGTTAGGCAGTTGAATAAGAAAGAGCCATCTACAAAATCCCGTATAATGCATGTTCTGTCGTTTAGTGTGCTCAGACGGGAAAATCTGCCTCTATTCGCATTCACTAACACCAGTTGGCAGTAAAAATACGAGACCATCTGTCCCAAGTAGCTATACAAACCCCGGACACGAGGCACACCTTCGCTTGGAACAAAGCTCGCGTTGCCGCTGTTTGTCCTTCAAATAAATACCAAGGGCTACTAGAGGTCATGCACTCGGATGAACCATGCATCAACCGGCATATGGAGTTAGATGCCGTGTATAAAAACCTCAATAAGACACGTGTCTGGGCTGTTTGGTACATGGGAGAACATCTGTCTCATGTTTCTATATATATATATATATTATTTTGGCTGAGCATTCACCGGGCGGTTTATTGAATAAGCTTGTCCTGTGGTAACTCAAAACACAGTCAATGGCCCTCGCAGTTAGTCCCATAGCTATCAGGAGTATATAGCGCATAGGAGTACAAACCAAGGCAAAAGAGATTAAGATGGTAATTTCAGACTATATAACCATCGTCAACCAGCATTACTGATCCCCTGGAATGCAGGATCAAACACCGAATTCTTTGCATTTGGGTTAACTTAAGCCTTACATTTACGCGATATGTTCAAACTGTTGCTTTTCTACAACAGTTGATAGTTTCCATCATAACAGACAGGTTATTCACCCACATCTGATCGGTGGAGTGGTGGTTTATATGAGCCTATTGTCGAAGTGTCCGCCTTGCAAAGCAAAAATCTGCAAATATGGAGTTGACTGGGGTTGGCAGATGACCACTGAATAAACAAAAGTAGACGTTTCCCAATTTCTCAATTTTCCCTGCACTCCTCCATCTACAGAAGTGATCATTAATAAACAGCCGCCGGTTAGGACTCAGTACTGAGCTTCAAAGCACAGAGGGATATACGCTTCCCAGAAACTAATCGATGAACACGTTTTCAACTATAAACACAGAAAAGGTAAGTATTATGAGAAAAAAATAGAATGCGTGTCAGTTTCCACAAGGGGTATTATAAAAAATCAGTGGTTACCAAAGAATACAATCAAGAAAAGAGAAGTCTCTTCCAATATACTGGAAAATATAAAACGGGATTTCCTTCTTACTTACGACGACAGCCACTAATGCAGTGAACACTAGTAAATGATGCAGGAAAAAAACTGACTGAAAAGCTACGCTAAATTTTGCAAGAAATTGAACTTCATCATGTAGGATTCTTCCCAGTACTGGCGAAACAAGACGTGACATATTGTTGATGTTGACATCTAATGACGTCTACTTTAAAACTTTATTTTAGATATTGAGAGACCGACTGATGTAAAGGCTGAAGCCATCAGTTCCGAGAGCATTCGGGTCACATGGAAAGCGCCCGGTTACAAACTATCAAATGAGAGCGGCTACAGAGTGCTCATTAGCGACCACGACTTCAACGATACCGCCGTAGTTGGAAGAGATACGTTTACGCACACATTCTTCGGATTGCAACCATCCACGGAGTACGCCGTATACGTTCAGGTTAACGACAGCGTGAGAGGGGTGCCCCGACCAACGGGAAACAGTTCGGCGAAAACATGGCCGGCGGGTAAGTCACATTGACCTTGTCAGGGAAATAGTTTTTGTGGATTTTTTGGTCGACCATTTTTCCCAAACCTTATATAAATCATCTTTGTGAGATGTGATGAGACATTCAGAGCGGACAATGTTAAGATTGTCAGCCATTCGTGCTTACCATTTCCCGTGGCAGTCAGTCGGAAGACGAAGAGATCATCTGAAGGAAATTCGTCAGAGTGCAGTTTTGACCATTTTGTGAGCAGTCGTGTTGTGCCAAAGGCCGAATAACCAATTTTTTCCTGTCTGAGGCATGGCACGGGGGTGGTTAGAGGAAAATCGAATCTAACAGCGAATTTGCAGGAATTGGACCGGGGTATATAGCGCTGGTTTCCGTGTTTCCGCAGCAGTTCATGTCAGTACGGTAAATAATAAATATTATAAAGGCGTTTGGAGCTAGAATTTAAAATATATCACCTTGTAATTCATGTCCGTGTGACTGCACTCAGCATTAAGAATCTTCTCATGAGATCAAGGAATACACTGGTTGAACGGTGACTGATAACAATAAAAAGATCATACTTAGACGTCCAGAATAGTGGTTATGTGTGCAGTAGGTCAGTACTGAATTATCATATGCAGTTAAGTAATAACAGCAGTTTTTATTTGAGTTCCTGAATTAGGTTTGAGCTCTCGAGTCAACCGCATCCATGACACAATGCCTAGTGCTTAATACAAATTGAATTCTCTTAAGACCATAATACAGGCTTTATTTGCGCAAGTTGATTTGAAGTATTTACAGGAGCGCATTAGTGAAGCGTTTAGCGCGATAAATGAGCAGACGTGCATACGGACTTTAGAGTAGTAGGACTACATGTGATGACACACCAATCGCTAGGCACAAAGGGCCCTTGAATGACAGATAACGCATTGAATAAAACGGTTGCTTTTTAGGAAGAGAGGCAGTATCGTGTCAGGCAGTAATCCGATTCTCGTGTCTAAGCAGAAAACGAAATTGTGACCGATTTTTGATGAATATCTTTACTAAATTTTTGGAGCTGAATTCTCAATACGGTCAATAGCAGTGGTAAATTTGTGTTTAATTCCACAGAGTAAATTCGAATTCCGTTTTTGCAAAGTATGTTTTTTTTCTCAAATTTGTCGCCCCGGAGTTGTGCTTTATAGCCAGTGAACGTGGATTTAAAGGTTTCACTTTGTCAAGGCTAGCAGAATCCCTCTAATAACCAAGCCCTTTTGATGCTTAATCTAGCGATTATTGAGACTTAACTAAATATGTTTATTAAGTCATACATTTTGGAATTTCATCGCTAAAAACTAACTTATGCAGCCTCTTATCTTGGTCATTTAAAACAACAGAGAAAGTAGAGAACCTTCATGTAACTGCAGAAGACTCCAGATCTGCACAAGTGTCCTGGGAACCACCGACATCAGCGCAGGGCACTGCACGGTCCTATGGAGTTTGCGTGCAGAATAAACACACGGGGGTAAAACAAGGGTATGTATTTTCTCAGCCTACGGCCACCTTCTTTAACTTGCACCCTTCCACAACGTACAAAATAACGGTCTCCGTTCGAAACGAAAACCCCCGAGGCGGACGCGGCAGGTGCGGACCGAAGGTTTCAGGTGAAGTGTCAACTCTGCCCTTAGGTAAGCAGACTCGCACTCCTTTTTTAATTGCATTTCACTTGAAGTAATTGTTTTGCATTCAGTTTGGCCTCTGATGCGTGCTTTACGGAATCAGCTGCTTAATTCGGGATCCGATAATATCGGCTAAGATACCTTGTAGTAGTGGTAATAGTAGTAGTAGTAGTAGTAGAAGAAGAAGTAGTAGTAATAGTAGTAGTAGTAGTAGTAGTAGTAGTAGTAGCAGTAGTAGTAGTAGTGGTAACGGGATAATCGTGCTTCCTCGACAAGTTCATCAAACCAAACTTCAGGTTATGCAGACTGCGCAGTCCTTCTTGGACTAAAGCAGAGAGTAAATGGTTGCGTATGTGTACGACTGAGTCTCGAGGCTCATTTAGATTCTGTCGGAAGATAAACAGTAGGGGCCGGATTATCGGTCCTCAGAGAAACCCGGACCCAAAACACACGCCGTGAGATAGCATCGAGGCTGACCTTCGGGTCCATCTATACGAAAAAAGCCTGTCGTTGTCATCTGGATAAAGACAGATTGTGACGAAGCAATCCCGAACCAAGGGAGAGGGAGATGGCATTTCACCAGCACTACCATAGAGAAGGAAGATTAGATGGAGCTACACATTCAGCAGCGAAATATCCTAAATATACAGGGTTCACGAAAGTGAGCTTAATCTCGAAGTCCCTGCGTTGTTGACGAGAGTAAGGATTAGTGAGTTATGGACGAGAGGTTTGAAGATGGTGGTGTTGTGGAAGAGGTTGCAAATGAACATAAAAGCTGAAAGGCTTGTTCCTGAAATCAATTTTTTTGGAAGGAACTACGATCGTTAGAACAGGCAGAGGAGGGGGAAGGAGAGAATAGAGAACTATATGGACGCGAGAGATGGCGGCGGCGGAATGATCGATGTTCAACTAGAGAGTTAGGTAGGACACAGGAATGACTACTGAGCTGCACCTGATAAGTATTTGCACCCTTTTCATAAGAAAGTGACTGGCTTCCAGTTATCTGTAAGGTCGCTTGATTATCCAACTGGAACCGGATTACTTGGATACCAGAATACCAGAAACTTAAATGGATTGGAAGAGCTCTGATCCGAACAGTGCAGCGCCACAGAATTGTTATTCAGCCATTGAGAGTTACCCAATGTGGACAGCTATGGCCTCCCGAGTAGACAAGATGCCCGCTGTCAATCACTAATACGGTTGCCTTCAGTAACAAGATAGAAACAGTCATGGCATAGATGGTCATTATATGATGTTCAGGCTGACATAGTCCAATCTTACGCCTTTGCCGGTAAATGTGGATAGTCTGGACTATACAACAGCGGTGCTGAGGCATGTCCCAGTCAGAACACGTAGGACGCGTTGAACGCGGGACAGAATGACTCAGTAATACAAGTGAACATTAGGGCTCCTAGAGACAAGTGAGTGGACTGAGACGCAATTGTTGCAACACGTTGTATTTGCGAGACACTTCGGATATACACACGGATGCATCAATAAAAAGCCAGCTTTGATTACCGTTTGCGTAAGGGTTGTAGTTTTTACAGGAAATAGTTGTCATGTCATTGCGCACATGTCGAAATTGGCGGCTCTCGCATTTATTACACGTGGTGTGTTAATTGATTACGTGTTCTCAACCGCGTCGTAATTTGCTGCAATTAGGTTACGATGGCGATTGTGGGACCGCCAAATCTGACATTGAAACGGCGCTCTTGCCAGGCAAACTTTTCGAACAGCATATACACCCGATGATTATTTCGCCTGTGGGTTGGCGAATCATAACTCGAGCATTCCGCGACTCATGAGGTTGTTACCTCTCGCAAGGATCTCAATCTCATAAAATTTGCGTGTGTGGCCAAGTTCCTCGACTTGGGAGCTGGCTTCGTTTCTCCTCACTGATGAACAGAGGGATTTGTTTTGTACACCATGAAGATGGCGCCAACATAATTTGTCCTATTGCTGCTTACGTAAAAGGCCTAAGTTTCTTTTCTAACGACCGAGTGTGCCAACTGAAATTCATAAGAGGAATCAAGTTGAAAGTGCCTGCATTTTTCTTAGCCCAACTGCCGAAAGATTCGTTTGGAGTCTAAGGGTGAAGGCCAGGATACAAATATTGTTACGTCATTGACAAAAGTCCTGCTAGATACTTTAATGCTGGCATCTTAAATACACATGTTTGTTTGAACATCTGGTCTGCTGAACGGCTAGTTTCGGTCTGAGATGGACCAGGCAGGCGGATAATCTGATTGCCTATGTTAGTTCAGGTGGAAAAATAGTCAATGACCTAGACCAGTGCATATTGTCTTCTGTGCTATTTTTATGGTAAATGCCATCACACTGTAAGCGTAAATCAAAATGTACTAAAGAAGTTGATTTGGCGCAACCTTTTAAAAAATCTCAGTGGTTACTGCAGAATACAATCAAGAAAAAAAGAAGTCGCTGCCGACATTCTGGAATAAAACAGGAATTCACTTATACTTATGAAGACAGCTAATAATGCAGTAAACACTATTAAATAATGCAGGAAAAAATTGACTGAAAAGCTACACTAAATTTTGCAAGAAATTAAACTTCATCATAAGGGATTCTTCCCAGTACTAGTGAAAGAAGGAGCGATATCTTGCTTATGTTGACAAATAGGGGCATCAACACGAAGACTTACTTTTAGATATTGAGAGACCGACTGATGTGAGAGCTGAAGCCGTCAGCTCCGAGAGCATTCGGGTCACATGGAAAGCACCCGGTTACAAACTATCAAACGAGAGCGGCTACAGACTGCTCATTATTGGCCAGGACTTCAACAATACCGCCTTAGTTGGAAGAGATACGTTTACGCACACATTCTTCGGATTGCAACCATCCACGGAGTACGCCGTATACGTGCAGGTTAACGACAGCGTGAGAGGAGTGCCCCGACCAACGGCAAACAGTTCGGCGACAACATGGCCAGCCGGTAAGTCAGTATGCCCTTGTCAGGGATATTGTTTTTGTGGATTTCTTAGCGGTAGATATTTGTCAAATTTTACAGTTAACAGTGTGAGGAAGAGGTGGAAGATAGAAATGAGTCTGTGAAGACGACGAAACTGGTTGTACTTTCTGTTCCTTTATCTCACTCGAAAGCCAAAGCGGCATGACAAGTCGTGATTGGCAGACTAACAAACGGAAGTATGGTGAAGTGCATATTACTTGCACTTAGCGACTCCACAGAAAGTATTTGAGATTACGTGGATGCACATTAGCAGTTTGTTCGTCTCTCATATATTATCTATAAATGCTGCCGCGCCTCTAACTCTAATCCCTCTCAAAAATATATTGTCCTCTTAAAAACCTCAGACTGTTATTTACTAAATTAATTGGGAGCTCATGCTACGGTTAAATTATATCTCCCCGAGGGCAAGATACTTTCATGCGCCTTATCTCTTTACTACAAATAATGAGTCAGATATAAGGGTCATGAGAATGGGTCGACAGTTGGTCGACTTACAAATGTTGCTGAAGGTCAGGGTGACGACGCGTATGTTTTTATGTCGTGTATGTTGCCTTTATTAACCGGCAGGAAGTGCGGATTAAACAACATTGACAAACCTTAAATATTCATGCTGAGCCAACTGTGAAAAAACATATAGGAATTACGTGAGCCTGTTAGCCATCTGGTGGATTCTAGGTGAATTACTTAGGAAATCTTGCTTGTGCAGTCAACTTACTGTATCAGATTTGGTGGATTCCAGACGTTACAGTAGGTTGGGCGGGTAAATTGACCCAAGTGTGATTAAACTCGAGTAGTCCGGCGGGCCACGCGGTTCCAATGGTTAGAGCGTTGGCTGTACTAAAGCCTTTCTCTTACTGCGTGGGTTTGAATCCCACCGAGGCGCCGACTTTTTCACAGTTGGGTCAGTATGAATTATTCAAAATTTGCCAAAACATCAATGAACCTAAAACAGCACTGATGCGCATGTAATCATTCCACTTTCTGGATAATTTCGAAACCCCATTCATTGAAAGCCATGTGCACCATTAAAACAATTAGCTAAAACGGTTTATCGTAGGCAAGGAAGCATTACCGTTTTTCGAGACTATCTACAGTACAGCACTGCATATTTGATTTTGCAATTTACGCCTTCAGATCGACAAGCGTGTGGAAGACAAAAGCTTGCTCCTGCCGCGTGGCCTGTTCTTCAGATTACTAGGCATGAAGCCAATCGACATAGCTGGCCAGTTTAAAATTTATGTGACTTCTGTTTTTAACAAAGCTGACGGTGGCTTAATTCATAAAGGGCTCTCGGTTGTGACTGCAGCCTCATTTTAGTGAGAGCGAGGCCGTCAACCGTCCAGCAACCCACAAAACACAGAGCTTTTTTAAATCTTTAAAAGTATATCGGACTCAGCTGTTGTCAGCGATGCAGGAGAGGGCATATCCATGTCACCTTCTTTCGTATTGCAAGACGGGAGAAGGTTTCGTTAGGGCAAGCCTGCAGGAAGACAAAACCATTGCGGTGGCAGATGCCGGCCACGTGGCATACAAGCGCTGCGTACCAGATAGCGAGTTGTGTTCCGACGCGGGCATTGAAGCCATCAAGAGTAATCTATTTGTCCGCTTGGGATACAGCCGCCATCATTGCGGGCAGATCTTCGGAGAACTTGTTCTTTACGCCAACGTTAAGCCAGGAGAGAAAGACGTAGGTGCTGACGCCAGTGATGGGAATTTTCCCAAGATCCGACAAATTCAGGGTCTTGAGACGAACTCTAAGTAACTGCGGGATGCAGGACGGCCGTCGTGCGGCATCGTTATTAATGGTGAGAGCGACCCCGACTTAGGTCGCCTGCCTTTGGACGTCCACTGTGCAGGGTTTACTCTGACTTCTCTTGCTCCGACAAGCCCTGTCTGGCGAAAACAGCCATACTGTCAGCCACAGTGCTCATTTCGTAGCAAAACGGTTTCCAGTAATCAGCAGGGTCCTTCTTTCTAGTCAGTTGGCCATTCAACTCCCTATAGGAGAATGCACATTCGATATGGCCAGAGTAAACAGCCATTCAGTCATCTTATCGGCGGCATGTTATGCCATCAGTTTTTGAGACATTTTCTAGCCCCCACGACAGGACAAACAGTGCTACCATAAAACAGGGCTACTCAGTCATCTCTGATGTCTACCGAATTCCACTGTAGGTAGCAGATTTTGTGAGATGGACAGACTGCCCAAATTAGCCTGGATCGACTACGCAAGTTCAGGAGCATCATCATAGGGGACTATTTGATTGGGTGGTGCAGATTAGTTCAGGGATTACGGGAATGAAGGTATATAAACGTCCAAAGCGTTCGCCTGATTTAGGTTTTCGATCGACGGTGGCTACCGGGATGTTGTTATCGGGCTGGGTACGGCTTCATAGAGCCCCATAAGAGAAGTTGGAGTCAAGGTGGAGAGATGATGAAACATCCACCATACTTGTCGATGGGGTTCCTTGGGGACCACCATTGTAAAGTCTACAAGCAATTCGTAAGAACCTGCGTATTCCTAGTCTATCCGGCCTCGATATAGTCAAGAATGTTTTGGCCAGATATGGGGCAATTTTCTATAGCGTATCTTCATCACTGACCTTACACGTGAGGGTCCTACAAACATACTGACCAGCCTGGAGTTTTGGTAGAGATGCAACCGAGGTTCCCGTAAACCTCACTCTGCAGACCACAAAACTATCGTAGTCAATCAACATGACTCTCATAATCGCACTAACAACGTAATAATGGAGATATTTCCAAGCAATGGACACACATTTATTAGATTGCAGAAAGATGTATCTACTGGAATAATACTGGTAAAATTTTGCAGTGTTGATCGTAGCGTTTCGTTTCGACCCAAAAGTATAAAACCTGGAGACGCGTTTTCTTCTCGCTGATAGGACCATTTTTTTATCTTTTTAGGCACAGAAGTCAATTTTATTTGTCTTCCAGGAAACGACTCCGCCGTTTTCAATTACCAAGAATGTAAATTTGCAGGATGGGGCTCAGTTAATCGACTACGAACTCTGGGATATCAAAATTCACCTGTTCTAATGGAAAGCAAAGTAAAGATTGAATCAAGCGAATTTTGTAAATTGGGTGCGAAAGGAGCCGGTCACGACGGACAAGCTTGCCTTGCAACAGGAAGTGGGGTGAGTTCTTATGATGACACGGTTTAACCAACGTAAATTTATTGTCAGTCAGTTTCATTTTTTGGACAACTCAGTAAACATGCCCATGACCTTTCTACACGGAACTTGAATTCAGAGTTCCGGTCAGAGATCGTAAAATTGATAACATGTATAACGGCGACGTAATGGTAATTCACAGCCTATTTGCGCGTTAGCCAATTAAGTGCGGTCTATTGGTTCGACAAAAAATAAACGATTTAGTACAGCAACCTAATCAGACATGATCATTCCAGTTTTTACTTAAAATTTTCTGAAAACACCTGACTATCTTACTTAAATGTTTTTATTTAGACTCCCTGTTTTGGCGACTCCGGTGCTGGTGTCTATTGCCTCGGTGCGCAGGGACAATGGGTTTTATATGGAATCATCAACAGAGGGAGTTTCCTCTGCGAGAAGCAGTATGCCACAAGCACAAAGATACTACCTCATGCAGAATGGATCAGAAAAGTAATAACGACCAGTGCAGTCCACTGGAATTGAGTTTGTGCAAACAAACTTGGCAGGGATAAGGAATACAGACTCCGCGTTAAACTACTGCTTGTTAATTGTTGAAAATCAGGTAATGGCTTTCTGGCTGCGATTTAAGCTACTAAAATAAACGTCTCCTTCTTCCTCAGAAACTGTGCTCGTGCATCAAAGTTTATTAGAAACCACGAATTATAGTTGGTGAAAAAACAGACGTATTTAACCACACAGTTAACACTAGCCCCTTACTTGGACTTAATTTTGATCTTGACCTGACTAACCGTTAGCATTAATTCTAGCCTTAAACCTAATCCTTTACCTAACCCTAACCATAACCTTAAACCTAACCCTGATTTCATTGAAAGCTGCCTCAAAGACGCCCATGTTGCAGGCGGTTCCTTTTCCCATGTCTATTTTTGGGGGCAGAGGGGTACAAAGCACAATTTTCAAACTGTCGGCGATCTAATCCGCTATCAGGAAACCGACGGCATATTCACTGCCCTCAGTGAAAACCGATATGCGAGCGTGGCGTCGCGAGATTTCCATCATTTTCATCAATAATGTCCGCTACATACGACATGGCATGAAGGAAGCAGGGACGATTGAGATGTAGGAGAGGGCGCTGGCAGCTGGTACGGTTGAACCCGCATCTAGGCGTGCCGCCACACCCCTTGGTCCACGACAAACTCATGACCAGGTTGTTAATCAACAACAGCGCAGCAACGGGTAAGAAAGATGAGGATGACTGGGCATCCAGACACATGGTTTTTTCCCCCACCGGGAACGCAGCACATCTATCGGTATCGAAGAAGGTGCCAGGGAACTGCTGGCGCACACTAGGTTGCATGGGCCATGATTTGCTAGTCACGTCATAGCAGAACCACACAATCCCTAAGGTCCAGAAGGGTGCTATGCGGCCGTGCACTTAGCCTGGATCGGGTGACCAGTCAGTTGTTGAGTGACAGGCACGATCCGTGAAACACACACTCCCACATGCGTGAAAGTGGCAGATAACATTCTAGGAAGGGGCCGTGTCAGCCTGGTTCTCAGCTTACCAGTTCGCCACTCAAAATAACCACACACAACTGGGCTGGCTGCGTGGCAAGAGAGTGCTGTCTAATGTGCAATATATAAAAGTGACATACTCTATCTCAAAGTCATTGCTCTTTTAATCTGGGTGTGGTCAATCAGTGATGTGTAGGCCAAGATATCATTTTGCGTCTGTGTGTACGGTCGAGTTGACGGCGCTTGGTTGGAGTGCCAGACTTTGGCAAACGATCCAGTGTGTTTTCATTTGACCATGTGCACTGCTTCTTCGGACTTCGTTTATAAGTATGTATGCCTTATGCCTACAAAACGGACCAGTAACAAATGATGTCAGTTCGCGTGGATGCACGCCGAGGTGCAGATTCAAGCTGTACCGATTGGAATCCGTGCCGCCTCCCTTATCTATTGTTGTGTTATAAGACCCTGGTCATTGTCCGTTGCGAACCGGAGTGCGTGGCGGTACGCCTAGGTGCGGGTTCCAGCCGTGACAGCCATCTGCACCCTCTCCTGCCCCAGGTCATCTTGACCCTGTCATGACACCGTGTTCAGTTGGGGGCGGATGAAAGTGTGCGGTAGGTTTGTGCTTCCAGTTGTTGCGCAGACATTACGCGGTATATCAAGCGCCTGGTTTTACTGCGACGCTGTCCCGCAGTCAGTAATATTTGCCTCCTATATTTGGCCCTTTAATATACTTTATTGGACGACACGCGAGAGCTCAAGATTCGAACAAACTCTAAGTAAGCTAAGTAGCAAAAACCAAACATACAGTTGGGTACATCGTTCATAGTCCAGCAAGAATTTATGCCTTGTTACCCTTGGAAGGGTTGTCGTTGGCCAATTCAACGCCGGTGACTATATTAAGGGAACCCATTCTATGCTTGGTTCTCGTTTTCTTCTTCAGCTACGATTTCCATCAATGCGGGTCTGCACGGATATGGGTTGTAAATATTTTATGTGACCCAATATTTTTAAAGAGTTAGTATCAAGAGATATTATGAGGAGGATTGACAGAATGTTGTCAAATAAAACAGAATAATTTTCATTCAAAGTTGGACAGGCTTCTAACCTAAGAGGCGCATGATGAAGACTGTGGTTTCCCAAGAAACAATCCTTCATCAATGATCTCTTGAAGTTTTTTTTGTTCGCACCTCCCTTCACAGGGACTGTCTTCATCTAGCTCATGCTTACCCATTTGACCAGTAATTTTTTCTGCCAGTCATTTTGGACGTTCAAAATTTCTGAACCCTCACTGAACTAAATAGTAAAGGGTTTGCTTTTCAGTACATAAATACCCCCCCCCCATTTGTTCCGCAAAAATTATTTATAAAAAGGAAAAAACTCTAGTAGATACAAATTTAATCTTAGTTTAAGTCTCTCCTGCTTCATGCGCGGTCGTACGGCTGTTTAGTCTGAACGGACTGCTGACTCAAAATAATTGTCCTTAAAGTTTCAACTTGAATCAATATCCCACTAGCATTTATAGAGTTTTGTGTGAGCTGTGGTAGCATGTGATACTAAGTCTGAAGTCACCTTAATTTTAAGACAATCAATAGTCTCCAATAAGGGCTATTGTTTAATAGTATATTTCAGTGTTACCTTTCTTCTCTCAATACTTGACGCATAGTGTAACCGACCACAAAAATATTCTAGTTAATTATTGGGTATGAATTATTTCTAAATATAAAATATACTTGGAAGATTAAACAAGGCGAAGTAAAGTAACCTTTTAATCACTGCCTTATTTCAAGAGTCAAAATTAATCAGAAATTTCCTTCGACATTATTTCCATAACATAACATACCGACTGCTGGCTCAGTTAGCGAATGCATTAAACGCGCACTTTAAAATAGGACATTAGCTGGCTTACCACTCCAAATTTACATTCGGACCCACCCGTCAAGACGTGGCAGGTTTGGGTTGTGATCACAGATGGTTTGCAGTATTTATAAGTCGTAGTTGCCATGCCATCCCACACCCGTAAAAATAAGTAGACTACACATGCATCACGAATGGTCCTTTAAAGTGGAAGGATGACCTGACAGCACAAAAACGATTTGTTAATCACAGCAGTATTATCGCCGGTGTCTGCTACTAATTTGATAATAACACTGCGATATGGCTGCCGGTGCTGTTACACAAACTGATGTTTGCTCACGCACTCCGTGTGAATAATTACTTTTCCGAGGCAAAGTCCAAGCAATACATCTAATGGGGACGGGTTATTCAGCTTGTTCGTTGACTTCGCACAGATGAATCAATATATGCGTAGTTCGTGGCTTACGCGGTTTTCGTCGATTGCACAAGTTACGGCCATGTCCAACTTGAATAATTTAAAACCTAATTAAGGTCGCCGGCTAATTTGTCTTGGCTCTCTATCATAAAGAATCGGCGTTTGGACTCCTTTTATAATCCAGAGGGCAAAGCAATTATTATTGGCAGAGTTGTGCAACACGATCAACTGTTGCTGCTAATCGACTTGAATGCGGATTACCAACGCTTCTCCGGCAAAGCTGACTTAAAAAGGCCTTGTCCAAGACTGAAATTCTGAAATATGCTAGACGTAAATGCGCCTAAATGAGCGATCAGTGAGGCGGCGTATCCCCTTGGATGCGGTATCATGCTGCAATACAATATATCCATGCAATTATTGCACCTTCATGGTGATTTGAATGGAAAGAAATGGTTGTGCCTGGTTAAATTGTTCAAAAACAAACTTGGAGATTATTTCTAAGCACGTAAATTTCTCGGCGCAAAATTGGAGCTTCTCTGCTCCTAATCGAGCCATAAAGCGCATGTTTTGCGAAGCGCTGGTATTCTAAACTATTTTACCAAAGTAAAAAAAGTCAAACACATGAGATTGTTTTCGAACGAGAATGCCCCTTGCCTGACTAAATCCTACTTAGATTGTGAAGCCGCGTCAAGTGCTGGGGGTTTTATTACTTTCTGACTGCGTTTTTTATGATCGTGGCTCTCGCGGAGCACTCGTGCGTATGTTTTTGCGCAGTCGTGACATTACGTTTTTTTCTGAAATTTTCCGATAAATTACGCGAAAAACATTTCTAATCCGCTATTGAACTGTCCCATAATTTAAAAAAGTGGTCTTCAAATTCAACCTACGTCTCTAAAAGGAGGCTGTAACAGCAGTGCAGAATCCATGATAGTGGCTCCTAGACAAAATTCCAATTTGTGTCACAGCATGATAAGTTAAAATTCTAAATTCCCCTCTTAAGAGGGTGACAGTCTTGAATTAGCCTTGTTTAATTTCCGAGGAAATTAATGCGCGAACTTGCAGTAAATCCTTTGAAACGGGCCTTTTCAAGGCAAGTTGAAACTGGAGTTCATATAACAGAAAACACACGGGGAAAGCTGGGGGACCCACTGACGAGCCGAACCCCTCGCAGCTGCGTCAGGCAGCGGCATAAGATCGGCGAAACACGCGTGTCTGGGCTTTTAGCCAATACCTGTGTTGTTAATACGGTAAGTTATTGCACAGTCTTGAATTATTAAGGCCACCCAGTTTCATGCATGTCCGTAGCAATGCCAAGAGCAAGATTCCTCACATAAGGGGCATATAAATATTGTGGTGAGAGCTCGAACACTAAAGAACATATGAATTCACCATTCGAATTCTCTTTTCAATATGCAAAGATGTAATCACTGCAATAGAAAATCGTGCAATATATACTACTTTCGGTGTGACGTTGGGGTGCGTGAATTGGCCTGGCGAAGGCACAGAACTACGCTTTCATGCAAATACTGCAACATCCGTTTAATATAAACCAGAATCGACATAACGAAAGGAAAAAACATCAACGTCCGGCAAAGTACTCATGAAAGTATGAAATCCAGGTTACTAATTAAAATAGAATGTCACAGGCTACAGTGTGGTGTTTAGATAGAGGATTCGCATAAGGATTACGGATAGGGTAAGGTTAGGGTTAGGGTTAGGGTTAGGGTTAGGGTTGGGG